CGATTTTATATCTATATTAGCATTCTTTATTATTTATAATCCCTAGATATGTTTTATAATGCAATTTCAAGCATTTTTGGTTTTGATCATAGTAGGCTATTTTCAAAAAAAAATCGATTTTATATCTATATTAGAATTCTTTATCATTTATAATACCTAGATATGTTTAAAAATGCAATTTCAAGCATTTTTTGTTTTGATCATAGTAGGCTATTTTCAAAAAATATCGATTTTATATCTATATTAGCATTCTTTATTATTTATAATACCTAGATATGTTTTATAATGCAATTTCAAGCATTTTTGGTTTGGATCATAGTAGGCTTTTTTCAAAAAAAATATCGATTTTATATCTATATTAGCATTCTTTATCATTTATAATACCTGGATATGTTTAAAAATTTGGTTTTGATCATAGTAGGCTATTTTCAAAAAAATATCGATTTTATATCTACATTGGCATTCTTTATTATTTATAATACCTAGATATGTTTAAAAATGCAATTTCAAGCATTTTTGGTTTTGATCATAGTAGGCTATTTTCAAAACAATATTGATTTTATATCTATATTAGCATTTTTTATTATTTATAATACCTAGATATGTTTTATAATGCAATTTCAAGCATTTTTGGTTTTGATCATAGTAGGCTATTTTCAAAAAAATATCGTTTTTATATCTATATTAGCATTCTTTATCATTTATAATACCTAGATATGTTTAAAAATGCAATTTCAAGCATTTTTGGTTTTGATCATAGTAGGCTATTTTCAAAAAAATATCGATTTTATATCTATATTAGAGTTCTTTATCATTTATAATACCTAGATATGTTTAAAAATGCAATTTCAAGCATTTTTGGTTTTGATCATAGTAGACTATTTTCAAAAAATATCGATTTTTTATCTATATTAGCATTCTTTATTATTTATAATACCTAGATATGTTTTATAATGCAATTTCAAGCATTTTTGGTTTTGATATTAGTAGGCTATTTTAAAAAAATATCGATTTTATATCTATATTAGCATTCTTTATTATTTATAATACCTAGATATGTTTTATAATGCAATTTCAAGCATTTTTGGTTTTGATATTAGTAGGCTATTTTCAAAAAAATATCGATTTTATATCTATATTAGCATTCTTTATTATTTATAATACCTAGATATGTTTTATAATGCAATTTCAAGCATTTTTGGTTTTGATATTAGTAGGCTATTTTAAAAAAATATCGATTTTATATCTATATTAGCATTCTTTATTATTTATAATACCTAGATATGTTTTATAATGCAATTTCAAGCATTTTTGGTTTTGATCATAGAAGGCTTTTTTCAAAAAAAAATATCGATTTTATATCTATATTAGCGTTCTTTATCATTTATAATACCTATATATGTTTTAAAATGCAATTCAAAGCATTTTTGGTTTCGATCATAGTTGGCTATTTTCAAAAAATATCGATTTTATATCTATATTAGCGTTCTTTATCATTTATAATACCTAGATATATTTTCAAAAATGCATGTATCCACTTCAGTGTTGTGGTAAAATAAGTATTCTTATGATTCATAAGATACGAGTAATACTACACGTCAATAAATGTAATATTGGAAAAGTTTGAATGTTAAGATGCTCATTAAAAATCATTGAAAGAATCCCAATATGAGCTACAATGTCGAAGAATAAATCAATGAAATTCTATGCTCTCTCATATTCATAATAGATGGATTTTTGAAGACTTTCTTTCATTATTCTTAATAATACTCAATAATTTATTATGATTTTTCTTACTTTTGTTCATCTTAAACATTGAATTTCATCAGAATGAAGCTTGTTACATCAACATTTTTACGCATAATTTACATTTTTCCTTATTTTACGAAAAATGACAGAATGACAGTGCTAGATAATTTGGAATGACACAAGCTCTTATGCTGATTCTCAATGTGAAGGACTTGTATTGACAAAATGACTATTATGGGAATTATATCAATATTTTTATGGTTTTTATAACAATCAGTTACGCGCATAGCACCTCCATGACAACATCTTAGATCTAAAGATTAAACTTTCTGATGACTCTTTGATTCTATTAACAGTATTGTTGTAGTTTGTAGTATTCAAGAATAGTAAAATAAACAATAAATCTCTATTCACTTTGAGAATTAAATTTCAATTTCACCAGCTTCAATAAGAAATTCAAATAATGGAATGTAAATAAAATATGAAGATTTCAGCGATTTCTTCATCGCAAATGAGCAATCAGTTATTAAAAATTCTTCAAATGACTTGCATTCCAATTTGATTTATAATTGTACACAATTATGGAATTACATTTATCAAATAAAATGCTATGCAATCATATCATGAATTTTCAGTTGGTTCTATCAAGTGAATCGTGGCGGACTAAACGAAAACTTGTGGGTGGAAAATTGTGATCTGAGGTTTTGAAAAATTGTAGAAAATAAAATCAAAGTCATTTCTTTTTTGAATTTAAGAAGACTTTAATTATAATTTTAAGAAGCTTAGCTATAAAAATAATTTATAGTGAACATCCACTTTTTGGCACGAAACCAAAGCTAGATCAATGATCAATACTAAAAGAACTGTTAAAACATATAAATAGTATTTATTCACATCTGAAGTGAATAAGGCTGATGAGTAAGATTCGAATTTTGACTGAGCTAATTAAGAACTTTTACTTTTGTCTGACTCTAAATTCTTAACAAAGCTAATGCACATTAGGTTGAGAATTCAAATAATTAATCTTTTTAACATTCGGGAATAGACATCAGAAACTATGCATAGATTTTCCAAAGCTTTAGATCACAACTGAGAGAAATTTTAAGAAAAGAATGAAGAATTAAAAAATGAGATAAGGTTTTCAAACTTATAATTTTAAATGAACGATTAAAATCAGTGATTTTCAGTGAATATTTTTCTCGTGACTGCCCCATGGCAGTTTTTAAAAAGTTAAATTAATTTTCAGACACACAGACGAGCACATAAATACCATTACAGTTCAAAAATCATTAAAAATGTTAAATTTTACAGAATAATAATGATAATATTTAATTACTTTTTATACAGTTCAACGAATATCATTTTGGGACAGAAACTTTCATTTCTAGTCGGGTTGTTTTCACAATCAGAGTGCTACAAAGTTACACAATTGTCTGTTGTTACAAAACTTTTTTAAATTCAAAATAGACTGCAGTGCCTTCATAAGACTTTTTTTTCCGATAAAAAGGCAAAGTAAACGACAAAAGACGAGATGAAGTTGAAGTTGAATTACAAAAAGATTGCAATCATTTCGCTATGTGCTTTTGTATTTTCATGCTTGAACGGATACTTTATTCTTCCTCGAATTGTCAAATATGTATTGAAAAGAGTAAGTTTGCTTGTTATTCACATTTAATCGAGCATTACATGTAAGATAGTAATGATTGGGAATTTTTAAATTGTTGTTGATTTTGCTGTTTATTGGTGGATATTACGGATATTACTAATTTTATTGAATTTATTGCAAAATTTAAATTTAATGATCATTCATAACACTGGAAACTTCACTGTGCTTGAAGGCTATTTTAGAGAATTTGGAGTGATAAGGGTTTTAACTCCTACATATGTTTCTTAAGATTAGTTCATGCATGTGAACTCGTGTGTTATGGTTCGTAGGTTCATTCAATCTCAGCTATAAATATGTGATTCTATTATAATTATTATTTACTACATGAATTTAAGTGGTTGTCCATAAAATCTTTTAAATTATCAAACCCATTCAAATATATTTCTTCTTCTTCTTAGAATCGGTATTCTGAGCATTTTAGCTTTAAAGCTTTGAGAATTTAAAGCACAAAAATCTTATAGATGTCAACAGCACACTGAAATTATAATTTGACAAGACTTGATATAAACTTTTTCCATTTGAGTATGATTTACAAAGTCGAGACTCGTCATTTTTGATATTGCGAATTCGGCAGAATTTTTTAATGAGCACTGAAAACTGTGCTGGGCGTTGAACAACTTTGAGTACAGCATGAGGGTTTTATTCTGATTAAAAATTACATTAATTAAACGCAATTTCAATGTCTTCCTTAACTGCAGCATTAAAATTGAAACGTAATATCCAATTACTATTTCTAAAATGATCCTTTTTGTCAAGCTGTTTGATTCTTCCGTTTTCATGTCACTCGAGGGGGATCCTTTTTTCTATAGTAAGGAATCTGTTTCAAACATTTTTCAATGAGAGTACAAAAAAATATAAAGTCAAGATTTGTTCAACACAAAAGGAAATACTCAAAGGGTTTCAGCTTGTAACAAATATGTTTGCTGTATGAATCCTTCTTCTTTGATCTCGTCTGAGATGTCGTTCAGTATCACTTTTTCATGTTTTTATTATGTGAATCCAAAGATTTTTTTTTATCAGCAAACATGACAATTTACCTTTAGATAGAATATTTGCTCAATCAATTTCATTTTATGGTGCTAAACCTACATACTTGATGTTAAGGGATGAAAATCATTTGAGTAATTTTAAAGTGCAAATTCTAAGAATAACTTATGAGATGATGATGATTTATAAAAAAAAGGATTTCCTTCGAATTTTCGATGATTTTCCAAGATCTATTTTGAAAAAAATGTTGCAAAGGAATTGCCTCAAGCAACACAATCCATAGATAAGGACTTGTTGATTTCTTTCAATTTTATTTCTTATTTCTTTTTTTATAAAAATACTGACAATCATCATGAGCTTCACTGAACTCTTTATTACCAACTCACATTTTTTTCTTTTTGATGTAATTTCGCTGGTTTGTGTTCAAAAACCTTCAATAGAATGCCATGAATACAGCATTAGCAACAAGCACATATTCACAACCACACAAGAGCACTCTATAAATATCACCTCGTGTTCTACAATACATTCAATTTCCTTTCATTTCCAAATAACTTTATCAAAAATTTTCTTTATTCTCATTTTTCCATATCTCTAAGAACGTCCAATTAAGGAAGGGATCTCAAATGAGACCATTGTTTGAAAACATTCCATTTCCGCTGACATTCAAAATCTACATTTTCAATATCACAAACCCTGATGACATCCTGAATGGAAATAAACCGAAATTAAATGAGATCGGGCCTTATGTTTTCGAGTATGTAGACAATCAAATATCATTATAATGCTATAGCTTATGCTGTATGAATTTCCATAGTGAATGGAAGCTTCGTGAGGATCTCGTTGATGATGACTCGAAAGATACAATTACTTTTACATTAAAGCAACTCTTCAAATTCCGACCGGATTTATCTAATGGTCTAACAGGCAATGAGGAAGTTGTTGTCCCGAATCTTGTCCTTCTTGCATCGACTATGACAGTAAAGCAGGAAAGAGAAGCTTTCCTACCAACTATAATTAAAGCTATGCATCAAATTTTTGGTAATGTATCTAGTCCATTTGTTCGGATGCGTGCTATGGATTATATGTTCAGTGGATTGGAATTCAACTGTTCAGGAACTGAGTTTGCAGCAAAAGTTGTATGTGCGGCAATACGAAGTGAGGGAATAGAGCAGGGTGTGAGAGCTGTGAATCAGACTCATCTTTCCATCTCTCTATTCGGTCACGTAAGTATTGTTTTTGTTCAGTCTTTTAACTTTATTTCAAACTTGTTATTTCCTTGAAAATTGTCTGATGGGAACCGACTTTATGAATGACGAGGATTTAGATTCAATTTTGTCTAAGTGTCTTTGTGGATTCATAAAAGAAAGGCGTTTCTATAAAACTGGAAGATTGTTTCAAAGTTCCGGCTGCGATTGCTGCTTACTTCCAAAAAACAAATCAGGAAACAAGTGCAAATATCTCCATTTCAGACGTTCATAATCATTTTCATGGCTGTCTTTTACAAACATTCACAACACTTCCTTTATTTTCATTGCATGTGACATGAAGAAAAACAATACCAGCATGTCGAGATTCACAATCCTGCGAGGTATACGGGATATCAAGGACCTTGGAAGAGTTGTGAAGATAAATGGCGACAAGTGAGTTAATGATGCTTTTTATTACATCTTAATTTATTGCTTAAAGTAATGCGAGATGAGGAACAGTGGAATTAAAAGGTTATTGAGGGGAAAAGTCACAACTAGAGGCAGAATAGTAGTTGGATTGAGTTGGTTCTTATACTATGTGCCTCGGCACTTTAAAGTTCTTCGGGCACATCAGGTTCGTGATTCTTGGTACACTAATGCATACCCGATGGAAAGTTTAAGAAACACTGAACAAGAATCTATTAATAATCCTATCTTGACTCCTTTTAACCAGAATACTATAACACCTCCTTAACCTCCTTACCATCATCAACATTTAATAAAAATAATAATAAAAATAATAATAATAATAATCCAATTGACTTCACAACGTTTTTAATCTGATTGCTTCAACTTAATCAATTTACAAATAAATACTGTTCATATAACTCACATACATACTTTCTGTCGATATATTATGGTTTCATAATAGCCAACTCTCAGTGTGGGATGGAGATGAATGTAATCGATTACGAGGAACAGATAGCACAATATTCCCACCATTCTTGGAACCGGACGATGGTCTTTGGACTTATACTCCTGACATTTGTATGTCATTAAAAGCACATTATGTAAGAAAGTCATCGTATGCTGGATTGCCGACCTCCTTGTACTCTATCAACTTTGGTAATTTTGAGGTAAGCAGTACGACATTGGAGATGACAATGAATGAAAATAAATTACAGAGAGCAATTTACTTAAAAGGATGATGAGAAGAAGCTGTGCTTTTGTGATGGAACTTGTCCACCAAAGGGAACAATTGACTTGCTGCCTTGTTTGGGATCTCGAATTTATGGTATAAAAGTCTTGTTTTTGACATTAATCTCTTATTGGCTCTTTGTCTTTCACAGGTTCAAAGGTACTTCATCGGAATTCCATTAATCTTTCTTTGAACTTTTTTCATTAATTAATTTTGATGGGAAAAAAATTCTTTCTTTTTAAATATCTTAAAAGCCTCACTTCTTAGATGCTGATGAAAGTCTGTTAAGAGCGGTTGAGGGACTTCATCCAAACCGTTCAGAACATGATGTTATTGTGAACTTTGAAGCGGTAAGATGATAAGATAATTACAGACTTCTTCAAATTCTTTTTATTGTCTGCGATTCTTAAGAAAAATTTCTGATATTTTCTTAATTAATGTTATTGTATGGTAAGCGACTGTATTGGTCGAACATTTCCTTTTTGCGCTATTCATGTTCAATAAGAGGAGGTGCAGTTGAACTTAAATTTATGACTACAATTCTATTCGAGCTTTTAATGAAGATATCTTTGCAAGTCAATATGAAAGCTATTCTGTATCCTTGTTTCCAGCATTCAGTATCTTCTTTTCATTTCCACGAAATTTTTATCGCTGTTGTTTCTTCAAATATTATGTTTCCGTAGATATCAGGAACTCCACTATCGGGGGCGAAGCGATTGCAATTTTCACTAGCAATGGAAGCAATTGAAGAATATGAAATGATGAGCAAATTACCGACAGCTCAATTACCACTTGTTTGGATTGAGGAAGGTATTTATAATTGCATTCAATTTGCATCCCGAATTCACTAATTAATTGATTTTTTGATACTCCTATTATTCATTAATTTATGGTTTAATTTATATCAATCGACATGGTAGGAGTGGAGTTGAACAAGACCTATACAAACCTGTTAAAATATCAATTATTCCTGTGAGTCAGGTTCACGTCAAGTTTTAATTAATGTGAAATTCATTCATTCATTCTCATCAATTTATATTGAGTATTAATATTCATAAAGTTTCCACAGCATGGGTTTCGAAGATTGGCATCCATTCAGAAGTACTCAAATGGCATAACAGATATTTGAGGAAATTTTATGCTTTTGTTTCAATTAGATTGTTCTGAATGTGATTAATTTTAGTAAATTCTTAAGTTCGATTGCAAGATTTTGATAATTGATCACTTCCCCAGTCCATTTCACAGTTTAAATGTAAGAAAAAGCAGAAGACATGCAAGATTTCATTCTAAATGAATCATGATATGTTGTGGTCTTGATAAAGATTCTTAATCTTGCCTCTGAAACAGTATCAGCAATTCTGAAACTTTCAACACTATCTTAATCTTAATTCAAACACATCAATCCATAAGCACTGCCTCATTTATAAATACATCTGATTATTATTTTATTCTAATTCATTTCCCACATGCAACAAATCCCGAGCAGAGCTTTTAAAGCCAATACAGTTATAAAATGGATTGGAATTGTGAGCAGCATGATTGGATTAATAATATCAGGATTTGTCTTTTATAATGAGCATCATAATAAAGTATCAGTTTCATCTACCGCAAACAATGCGACAAGAGCTGTAGAAGCAAATGGAACGTCAGCAAAAACATTAGATGATCTTATTTATCTCAAAAACAGAGTTGAGGAAGTACAGAATTCAAAAAATGACGAGGAAAATTAATCTTAATAGGAATGGATATTTAATTTCATATTAAGTCTTTATATTTGTTGTTGTTGTTGTTGTCTCACTGCTTGCTACAGACTTACATTATTAAATATGAATTGTTTGAATAATTGATATAAATGTAATTTAGTTGATAATATGAAAATTGAAAGAAGTAAATATTTATAATTGAGGGATATGTATCATAATATGAAACAAGCTATTGCCTTTAGGCTAATTCTTTATTTAGAACTGGATTTGTATATCTCCATAGATTTTTTTTTTGGATAGCAGCAAATAAATTTTACAAAACAATTCGTCGTGTGGGTGTTTTGCCCTTGCTTAAGGACACAAGATATTTCTACAACATCAAGTTTAAGATTGTTCATGCTTATTTTTCTTGGGGACCGCTCATGTCTGATGTCTGTTAACAATTGAGATTTTTTGACTCACTTCTCTTAATTTTCACAAACTTATAATGTTCCAAACCCAAACATTGAACATACATTTCATAAAAAATGAGCAAGGAAGAACTAAAATGAATTTGATATCTAGCTTTATATCCAAACATTCCAAAGTGTGACATTTAATAAATAAAAATAATTCTTCTGGTCGTTCATTTATGCTGAATATGTAAATAATTTGTCCCGTTCATATGTCATCGTTTTGTTTTTAAGACGATTGTAAAGTCAGAATTCTGAGATATGCGTCAATTATTGAGGTTGAGGGGTTGAGGGGGATGAAAAAAGTCGTTTTTTTGCGGAACGTAATAAGTGAACGGCCCCCTGTGAATATTACGACTAATTTATTATTTATTCTAGTAATTTTTCCAAGATTCAGCTTTCAATTCGCAGCAGCTACAATAATATTTTATATAAGGGCAAATCCGCGGGCAATAAAACGCTTCAAAATTTTGTTTTTCTCAAATTTCTCTCCTATTTGACATTTAAAGTAATGTTTTAATATCAAATCATGCGTAATTTTGAAAAATGAACAACTTTTGATACTTAGCACAAGATTAAAACATTTAATTAAAGAGATATTTTGAATTTAATAGCGTTAATCGATCCTGCAGAACGTTTTATTGCGAAACTCAAGATAATGCATTGTTGCAAAACACACAATAATATTTAAAATTTTAGAAAACGTTTTGATTATTTCATTTTAACTTACTATTAGGGCATCTATCCACACATATTAAACTTTAATTATAAACTTTTCTGCAATAATTTATTGATAAAAACCATCCAAAATAATTTAAGCAACAGAATAATAATTTTTTTGAAGAAATTTTAACGTATTTTATTTTTTTGAATTCAAACAAGTAGAAAAATATTACAACTCGTTTTTTCCCAGTTCATGCTTTATGCGGATTTGCCCATAATCGAGTGCCAGAGTTACCATCTAATTCAGTAATGTTCAACATACGACACTCTTTTGCTTTAAAATAGTGTGCTGCGACAAGGATTTCAAAGTCAATGCATGCCGTGCCTCAAAAGATGATTTATTTTTAATATTCTCTTTGTGCATCAATGTGTGTCGATCAAGAGAGATGATTATAATGTCGATTAAGCTCCATAAAATTTGTCGTCAAAATTTGAATTTTTACTAATTCAAAAACTTTTTTAAAATTCAAAATTGCTAATCTGATGCTTAATTTTCTATTGACTAGCATTGACGAAATTTTATCAAATGCACATTCATTCATTAGTCAAGTGATGAAGATGTACTTTGTCTCATTTTTGATTGTTTTATCAATTTATAATTCTGAAGCTTCTGGAAAATTTGTAAAAGTTGAAAATTGCACTACAACAAATAAATCATTAAAAATAACAAGATGTGATATAATTAATGGTTCAATATCCATTAGTATTGATGTCTTCAGGCCTCTTGATAAGGTTTTTGTAAGTAATTTGTTTCAATTGGTATTTAAAATGACTAAGTTTATCTTTCCAATTACTAAGGTAAAAATATCACTTTACAAACGTGAAAACTCATACTTTCGATCAGTTGGAAAATTTCCAGTATTTGAAGCATGTGATTTGGTCCAAAAAGGCACAAAGCAGAACCCATTTATAACAGGATTTACAAACATTGTTCTTAGTGCAGTTCCAAAATTTATCAATGGTTGTCCATTTAGTGGAGCTTTCGATCTATCGAATTTTACTTTAGTTGGTGAAATGTTTAGATACATACCAAAAGGTGTTTTTAGGTCTAACTTCCATCTTTACAATGATTTTGATGAAATCGTTTTATGGGCAAGCTATATTTTTGCTAAAACATCCACAGGATCATCATAAACTGTCAAAAATTATGTTTAAATGTTTTCGGAAGTAAGCTTTTGCTTAGTCAATGTAACAAATATATTTTTAAAGTGTTCATTAATTCGAGGAAGTCACATTAATAAACATATTATTCACACCAAATATTAAACCAGTTTGAATAAATTCTCATTATCATTCTGTCTAGCTATGACCACATACCCTCTAATAATCTGTATTGTTTTGCAAATATCCAGAGCTTACGCAATAGGAAAGTTTGTGAAAGTCGACAATTGTACATCCACAAACAAATCTCTGCATATTGAACAATGCAATGCAATCAATGGAGCACTTAACGTAGTTGTGAACATATTCAGACCACTCGATGAAGTTTTTGTAAGTAATTTGATTCAAGTTCTATGCTTATAAAACTACATTTGTTTTAAAGTCTATCTTTGTAATTAAGACTTACTATTTTCAGCTTTAAATTTAAAGTTTACTTCCTTAAAACATAACTTTTACAGGTAAAACTTTCCTTATTCAGACGCGAAGGTTCATACTTTAAGCCACTTGGAAAGTTTCCAATACTCGAAGTTTGTGACTTAATGAGCGGTGCAACAAAGCAAAATCCTTTTGTTATGGCTGTTTCAAACATATTTTTCTTTGCTGTACCAAGTCTCCGTACAAAATGTCCTGTGAGTGGAAGCATTCAGATATTAAACTTTACAATATCCGGTGACATGTTCAAGTTTGTTGCCAAAGGAGTTTTGAAAATAAACCTTCATTTTTACAGCAAAACTGATGACATTATTTTGTGGATGAACTATATTTATGCTAAGACTTCTTCAAGGGCAACGTAGGATCTTAAGGAACAGTTCGTTTATGTTTTAAAGCACAGCTTTAATAAAATTGAGTTTAATCTTATTTATTAATTCTGCACCAATTGGCTCGATCATTTTTAATAAATCAAAGATATAAGTTTTAAGATATAAAAAAAGGAACGGTATAATGGTTGGAAACTGATCAGAAACATAGCAAATAATCAGCAATCATTAAAAAAGATAAAATGAAAAGGCTTAAAAATAATTTTATGAGGTAAATAGACCATTGACTACGTTTTTGTCTCAACAATTGACGTCATTTTATAGTTTTAAAAACTATTAAGTATTTTAATGTGAACAATAAATCTGGCTGTAATTTTTAAAAAAATTGATGCTATCTTAATTTATAGATTAATTTAAAATTTATTAAAAAGAGTCCAGACAAAAAAAAGAAATATAAACAATTGTTCAGATCAATTATTAATTATCATCAGTGTTCAGTCGAGAGATGAGGATATATCTTGTAGCATTGTTTGTTTTTTTGTTAATTAACTATTCAAATGCTATCATAAAGTTTCTTAAAGTTGATAATTGTACAACAACAAATAAATCTCTGAATATTGAGCGCTGTGAAACTGATAATGGTATGCTGAACATTGCTGTTGATATATTTAAGCTAGTCGATCAAGTCTTTGTAAGTAATCTTATTGTAGCTTATCTTGGATAGATAATCTTTGCTTGTTCTTACAGGTAAAAGTTGCATTATTTCGACGAGAAAGTTCTTCATTTAGACAGATTGGAAAACTTCCAGTTGTTGAAATATGTGACATGATCAGCAGTGGACTTAAACTCAATCCAGTGGCTTTTGCGATTTCAAATGTATTTTTTCATGCTTTGCCAAATTTTCGTAAAGGCTGTCCATTTAATGGACATGTAGAAATTTTAAACTTCACTTTAAAAAATGAAATGTTCAAGTTTGCTACAAAAGGAATCTTCAAAGTTAAACTTTTATTCTTTAATGATGTTGACAAGATGATTTTTTGGATGGACTATATTTATGCTAAAACTTCTTAATCAAAAAGAATAATATCAATTCAAAAAATAATGAAAAAGCAGGATGAAGATTTAAAGTTTATTCGACTTCCTACAATTTTAGTAATATTCGAGAAGTTCCATCCTTAATGATGCTAATTTAAAAACTTCCTCTGTCACATTTTGATTCTATATTTGTTCAATCCATTAACTTTTGACGAAAGCTTAATTAAAACTTGTATATAAATATTTTAGTTCAAAAATAGCACTTCAAATTAATTATTGTTAACATTTAGTCACAAAATGATGGTGTACTTTGCGCTATTGTTCATTGCTGTATCAAATTCTGAATCCAGTGTAGTCATAAAGTTTATAAAAGTTGAAAATTGTTCAACAACTAACGAAACTTTGCATATAGAACGGTGCGATATAACTAATGGAACATTAAATGTCATTTTGGATGTTTATAAGCCAGTTGATCAAATGTTTGTAAGTTAATATTGCTGGAGTGGTACACGATGAAATGTAATCAATAATTTTAAGTAAACTGTTCAATTAGCCGCCGTATTGACAACATTTCAAAGTATCTTAGTCAGGTTTTATCGATGTTATCGAGTACATTTGTCACATAGGCTGCTCGTGATAGCTTTTATACTTTAAAAATTCAAATCAGCTAATTGTGCATCACCAAACATTCACAGGTTAAATTCGCCCTATATAGACGGGATGGATCTTACTTTAAACAAACTGGAAAGTTCCCAAAAATTGAAGTTTGTGGTTTCATCAATGCAGCAGCAAAGAGTAATCCCTTCTTAATGGCAATCACAAATGTATTTTTCTATGCTCTACCAATTCTTCGCAAAGGATGTCCATTCAGTGGATACATAAATTTATTGAATTTCACTTTGTCTGGAGACATGTTTAAGTTCAGCTCTAAAGGAGTTTTAAAACTAAGTCTTCACTTTTTCAGTAACCATGATAATATGATTTTAGGATTGACTTATATTTATGCTAAAACGTCTACATGAGCGTAATAATTTGAATTTATAATGATCCGTGTACGATAACAATGCTGATGGAAGTTACTTAATAAACTTTTTGGAAGATTTTGTAATAAAATTAGATTATTTATTCTATCAAATTTAAATTGATTTAAAGTTTTTATAAATGCAGGAGATACATAAATAATTAAATTGTCAATTGTGTTAGGTTTCTTCAAATTACTTTACTTTTGTAGCTTGCATCAAAGTATATCCTACCCCTAGCTCCAGTCCTTACCCTTTGAAATATCCTAGCAGGTAGGAGCAAGATATGATGTATATTCATAAGACACAGCAAACAAACCGAGACAGAATCTACTTAACAACGATATCTTCTCTTCTTTGAATATCTCTTTGAAATCCAAATGACTAAAATATTAATAAAAACATGTAAAAACGGAACAAGATACCCAAAAAATAAATCTTTTTATCTTTTCAACAACCTACACCAATGCTAATAATTTTGTGTAAAGCTTTTTTAAGAATCTTGTTTAATTAATGAAGATTTCATGTTGTTAAAAATTTATGCGCATATTAAAGAGCTATCGCCAACAGAAAGAGAAACAATTGCTAATAAACTTTGCTAAAATTTTAAATCAACAACTTGCGATATTAATATACAGCATTATAAATTCTTAAACTTTGATAAAGATTTTGAGAAAATTAATTAAAAATTCGGTAAAAATTAAAATTTACGCTTGTTATGTTTAAGGCATTGGATGGGGAATTTTGTTTTTAGATTTTCTTAAAACTCCTCTGCAGCGTAACATAATTAGTGAACAGCCCAAGTTTTAAATTACAAAAATGTTGTTTTTTCTCCAGATAGTGCGCATTACAAGGTATCGCACGTGCAAAACGATATCAACATCGACAAGTGATTATTCATAAAAGAAGTTTTTCCAGTTTGCCGGTTTTTACATCTGTTGATTATTCTATTTTGATTCTTATGTCATTACATTCAATGATTAAATACCAAGAGTCGAAACATTAAGGTTCAATAAATAAATAAAATGTTCACTGACTCAGAAGTTTAAAAGAATTTTCCCAATCGTTATTTTCCTATTGAAAGGATGATATTCTTAGGATCAAAGAGGTATAAATAAGTCAGATGTGTTGTTGAATAATTTTCGCTCAATACAAAACTTTCTCAATAGATATGTGCAAAGCATAATTCTCAATATATTCATCAATAATCATTCTCTTTATCTCTTATTCAGCATCTCTAATGCTGTAGTTTATTTTTCATTCAATCTCTGAGCATTTTTTATTACTCCTATTTTTTCTGTTTCATTCATGAGATGCAAGCAGTTATGAAATAATTCCATATACAGCAGAGAAAAAAAAAGTTTATGAGTGAGTGAAGCTAAAGAAAGCGAAACAAGCTGAGAGAAGAGATTAAGTAAGTTGATCAATGAAGTATTATGAATACTTGATCGGTAACATATGTGTAGATTTTTTTTCGCTGCGCTTTTATTCAGACTAGTTTGTTTTGGTAGCTGGTAGGATCCTTTACTTTGAGTTGTCTAGTCTCTGTTAAATTGTTTTAAATGGAGTACGAAACTCTTGACTCTGAATTGGAGTGTCGTGGTACCTAGGCAACACTTGTCTGCGACTAGGACAGGGTATTACAGGCTGGACTAGTAACCGGGAATAGTAAAGAAGATATAAGAAGCTCAAAAACCTTTAACTTTCTAATTATAATTAAAGACACTTTCAAAACATCCATTCATTAAAAGAATAGCTATGACCACATCTCCATGCTACCTGAAGTGACTATACTCTAAACATCAGTAGCTCCATCATTTAAACCACATTTCTATTCATTCATAAGTCAACAGAAGCACATAAATTCACTTTATTCCTGACCTTTCCGATAGTAAATCAAATTTTTTATGAGGTACTTAAGTTGACAATTCAAGCACACGTGAGACATGCTCAATACTTCTCACCGACCACATAAATACTGCACATTTTCCACATCTCTTTTCAAATAAAAGCCTGATTCATGAATAAATCTCAAAATTTCTTACACATGTAGACTTATTTTTTCTTCAGTTTTTAAAGCTATCAAGCGCGCACAGTTTAATTTGAGCCGCTCTACAAGAAAGTCAAAAAAAGCAAGTAGCTGAAAGCGAGTTTTTTTTTAAAAAAATTTATTTATTACCATAAAACCATAAGAACGGCGAAAGAAAGTAAACTATAAAAAGTACATAAATGAAATATGTAATAGACTGTGTCGAGCAATATTAGAAAATTGTGGATAAATGTGTGATAAGTTCATGCTCATCTTATTACTCTCAGTTGTGGTTTAAAGATAGCTACCAAGTTGGGATTTTGATTATTTGGAGTTCTGAGTATTTGTACAAATACCAAATAATTTTTACAAGAAAATGTTATTGAAAATATTTTAAAATTATGGAACTTATAAGTTCATCGTAAACATGAATTTTATTGAAATTAATATTTGGTATTTGTAATTAAAATCCATATTCCGAAGCACTTAAGTGATAATCTATTCAGTGATCAGTTCAACGGAAATAGTTGGCGATTTTTGAACCATAAAATTACGGTAGCAAGTTTTGTGATTTTATTTTAACATCTCCGTCAGTTTTATGCCTGGTTTTCAATTGACTGGATTCACTTTTTTCAAGAGTTTTAGTTTCATTAGTGCTTTGTTAGTTGAGAAAGTTTTAACACGAGCAAAAAAAAGAGACGAAGAGATATTTCTGCCTTAAAACTTACAATTTTTTTATTATTTTTTTTTCGATAGAAAAACAATAAAAGAAAAAGAAAAGAAAATTGATTGAATCAATACACGGAAGAAGTAAGCGACTTTACTTTTGTTTTTTGATTAAAACTTGCGTGAAGTGATAAATATCAAGTGGAATTACTATAAAAACAGTAAGTGATCATCTGTCTGTTGAATGAAATGAGAAATGTGACGAATATTTTATTGACATTGATTTGTTTGTGCTGTGGAACTTGTTTTTCATCTTAACACACAAAATATAGGTTGAATTTTGCTTTGTGCGGAATGTCTCGTGAAATTTCTTTGAATTTGAATATCTTATGTCACTTTCATCTTCAATCCTCATAAGATTGCTGATTTTTTATCGGTCGTTAAATAACAGTTATATATTGGTGGTATCTGTGACATAAAATGAAGGTTTAAGTTTGCTTAGACAATTCCGCATTGATCTGTGATGACCCAGCTGTTAACGATGATAATATGGGATAATTGGGATATTTCATGGATATGTGGGATAATATGGGATAATATTAATATTTTCATAGTTTCCACGCCTTGGTTTTTACACAACTATTCTAGTTATCAAACGTTAAACATCAATATTTCAACTAGTTGGGCTGATAGGTATCAATCTAATTCAATTAAATTTCCAGACATCAACGAATAATTAATATAACAGAATACGATATCATTTAAACATAAACAAAACAACCCAAAAAGTTTCTAATAATGCAGCAAAGATCCAGTGAATTAAAATACAATTATTTTTAAAAAAATTCGAATCAAATCTTGCAACTAAACAATAAAAAATTCAGAAGAGCTTTAAAAATCGATCAAAATAAAAGTTTCTCTTCAAATCAAATCAATTTTTCCAACAAATCGCCTGTCAAATCAAACAAAATTCCATCCATGAAACAAATTGCATAAAATGATCATTAATTTCAATTACTTGAATTGCCGATAATTGCTCATTACTCGTCTTCGACTTTTGCATTTCATGTAGTGAAAGTAATATAGATCTATATATTTGCAGAAGATTATTGTTATTTATGTTACATTGCATTACTTTACTTTTATTACACTTCTCAAGCAACAACAACAAATATCTATTTTTTGCTTCTCTGATTCGGATTTGCCGAAATTGACCAAACATAAAATCATTAAGGGTTATTCACTTATGAATGTATTCAACATTTGACCAAAGAAATTGTTTTTGATTGAAATTTTTGAGTTATAGTGATTTTAAAATGGGG